ATTTAAGTTTAATTCTATAAATATATTTCTAACATTTGATAGAATTAATCGTGTGTAAATTATTTTAAATTTGGAAAAGTACGGTTTTATTTATTTACGTACCGTTTTTTACACACAGCTCAGGTTTCATGAGTTCTGTCTTCAGGCGACTCTCGGCTGGATTTAATCATCTCGTCAGACGTTTGGTTAGAAACCAGTTTGTGTCTCCAGTTTCCAGCAGAAGAGTCTGATTGTTTTTCTGAGCAAAGAGAAGATTTCCAGCTGATATTTTCACCTTCAGCTCGTCTGAGATCGACTGCAGGTCAGTAGAGTCTCAACCTGAACAGCAGAAGAAGTCATTTAATGAATCAGTTTGTCAGATTCATTTAATTATATTAATATGGTCAGATTTTAGCTGTAACTTAACAAAACAGGCAAAATCTGTTAAATACCAGACAAATATTCAACTGTTTATAAATCCTACACACAAGATGTTTCTCTGACTTAACGTCTGCATGATAATATTTATTGTGGTCTACTTTGTGCGGCGGAAGCACACACAGCTGCTGTTGTCTGTGAAGCAGCAGCTGGTGGTTTCTCCGGCGTCTCGTGATGTTTGTTGAACTTTCCATCATCTGATCAGAGTCACTGGAGCCGAATCGGACTCATGAAGAGCCTCAGAGTTAAAACTGGTCCGAGTTCAGCCGACAGCAGCTTCAACAGCGACACGTTTAAACTCTGCTCCTTTATCCAGACAGCAAACTGCAAAGACGTAAAAAAAAAAAAACAGAATATTTCAGCAGCTCATAGGGAAAAAAATATATAATCTCATTAAAAAAACGTCAAGTAGATTTTTTAGCCTCGATTTTGCTTGGTTATTTGTTTTATTTTAATTTTTTTTTGTACTTTTTAATGTTTAATGAAGGTTATTGACATCTCTAAAAACAAATACATTTTCTACAATAATAATAATAATAATAGCAATAATAATAATAAACAATAATAATAACAACAACATTCTAGATGTCTTTCACATCTCTGTCAGAACCCTTCAGGAAGCTGCTCGGTTCTGCTCATGATAGTGGTTAGTGTTCTGGTTATCATTCTGGTTATTATTCTGGGTTTTAGTCGAGCAGTGATTCAGAACCACAGCAGAAGAAGTGAATCGTATTTAATCAACTGAACATCTGAGCGTTCACACCTCGGCTGTGAAAACACTCCCACAGAACTGATTTCAGATCAGAGGAAACAAAGCAGCGCTGTCACCCATCATTTCAATAATGAAGAACAAAAACCAGAGCGGACCTGCTCACAGCTCAGCCGGTCCAGAATCACAGCCAACAGCAGCTGGTCTCTGACAGCATCTAGCTGTAGAGTCACACTGTGTTGTCTTTAAAACTGCACAAGTTCTCATCATTTTACATTTTCTCTTTAAAGTTTAGTTCTTTTCTGTTGTTTTACAGATTTTTCTGTTTGGTTAAATTGCAAATAATGTCCAGTAAAATCTGGATTCTCACAAACATTCATTTGCACTTTTGCTATAAAATCATAGTTTTTACTGTATTAAAATCAGCTTAAAGGCCCGTTAACTAGCTATTTATATATTTATAATACAAAAAACAGTAGTAAATTATAGATAATATAAAGTAAAATCACATTTTAAAAAATATTGATTTACATTTCACTGTAAGAAAATAGACAACCAAAAAAAACCACACATATTAAAAAACAGGTCAAAATTGTCAATAACATCCAAATTCAGTATTTTTACAATTAGTAGTTGGATCTTTTTACAACATTTAACAGTAAAATTAGACTATTTTTGTATTTAAAGCCACAAAAAATAGAAAATATTCTGCAGACATTTGCCATTATTTTCCTGTTTTATAAAAATGTGAAATCACACAAAAATCTGTATTTTTACAAACAGTTATTTGTTCTTTTACAATGTGACTGTAAAATTACACTATTTTATATTTTTAAAAATCATCATTAATTAACAGGTATCGCCTGATATCTTCACAGATTTTTTTGTTTGTTTTTTCTTTTTTACAGTTTTTTTTCAAACATTACAGTATTTTTATTTTATTTTTTTCAAAAAAAAAAATGGTAGTATTTCCGTATAAATCTGTAAATAACATCCACACCAAAGTCTGTATTTTATTTTAATAATAGTTGATCTTTTACAACATTTATCTTTGAAAATAGTTTTGTTTTTAAAACAACCAAAAATTCAATTATTTCACAGACATTTATTTAAAAGAACATTTATTTGCACTGCGGGCTGTAAAATTAGACTTTTAACTAAAAATATGTCACATTTAGTTTCCAGGTGTTTGCTGTCATTTATATTAACTTTAACGTTTTAGTATATTTATGTATTGATGTAACTCCTCCGGTTCCTAAACGGTCCTCTGGGTCGGGTCGTGAAGCAGCAGGCTGTGGACCAGAACATGAACAGAGTCCAGCTACAGCACATGACCGACGTGAATCATTGATCCACCACCGGTTTGGGTTTAAAGCTCCAGATCCACACGCTGAACATCCGAGTCCACCGCTGAGACACCACAGAAATATGGGTCAGAACCAGGAAGAGCAGCGTTCAGCCAACACGCTGCACAAAGCTAATTACCACAGAGAGTCCAAGTCTGTTGCATAACACACACACACACACACACACACACACACACACACACACGAGTCGTGGCTGCCCTCTGCTGGATTCTGCTGCAGGAGTCGGTCCAGAACCAGAAGCTGAGGCTCTGCTGAGTGTTTTAACTCCTGAAACATGAATCATGAAGTCAGACGGCGGCAGAACCTCACGTTAGAATAAATAGAAAAACACACAAGATACAAGATGCTCGTGCTGTTAATGAGACTAATTAAAATCAGTTTAATGAGGATTTATTCTGATGAGAAACTGTCAAAGTGTTCATATCTAAGTTATTATTGTCAGAAGGGTTTTGGTTGATAGAAGTGTTCGACTTCTTCCAAAACCCTTTTCCAACTTTGAAACTTTTTGTGCCTCAGACGTTGACTTTGTTTTACATTTTTGGTTCAAAATAATAATTTAAAAAATAAACTAAATGAAAAAGAATGACCTCCTGGAGCCCGACTTTGCTGTTTATGAATTAATTAAAGACATTTCTTCCATAATTTGATGCAAAAAAAGAAGAAGAAGAAGAAGAAACTGCTGCTAAATTCACCAGAATACAGGAAATTATTTGATGTGTTTCTTTCTGCTGTTTAAAAAATGAGTATTTGTTGGAATAATTTGCTGTTAAAGTGCAAATAATTACAAATATAGTCACAGATTTTCTTTTTAATTTACACATAAACCATCAAAGACAGGCCAGACGTGTAAATAACTATAAATGATCGTTTGCAACATTTGACTGTAATTCTAAAAACAAAACAAAACAGCCCCAGATCTAAAAACTAACCAGAGTGTCAGATGTTTTTGGGTATTTTTTTATAGAGGAAGTGACATTTTGTGTTGAACATGTCAGAGTTTTGTGGATGAGTTCACCTCTAACCTCNACGAAGCTTTTCACTACATTGTTCCAGAACGATGGAAAAAAGCAAACTCATAAAGTTTAAAACTGAACGTCTGATTAAATCTGTATTTCTTTTTCAGGTTTCTCCTTCGACAGAGATCCTCAGCTGTACTTCGACGACACCTGCGTGGTTCCTGAGAGGCTAGAAGGTGAGATTCAGGACGTTTGTGAGATAAAACTTCACTAATCCTGAAGGAAACTCGTTGCTCAGAAAAAACAGATAACGCAACATCAAAAATACAGTGAAGAAAAAGTCCAGCATGAAACTGAAATACAATAATGAGGCTAAAATAACACCAGAACAGTATGAAGTAATACTGGTGGTTCTACTGGACCAACCGGTACCACACAGTATAGAGTAATGCTGGCGGTTCTACTGGACCAACCGGTACCACATGATGGTGACGTGTTAGTGACCCACATGGGCGACAGCAGCGTCATCAGATGTCTGTAGAAGCGTCTCGGAGGTTCTCCGTCTCCTGCTTATCGGCTCATGCACTTCCTTTCCTTCTTGTCTCAGCTAAAGTGAAGCAGGAACCGGCGGTGTACCGGGACGGGCCTCCGTACCAGCGCCGCGGCTCGCTGCAGCTCTGGCAGTTCCTGGTCACGCTCCTGGACGACCCGGCCAACGGACACTTCATCGCCTGGACGGGCCGCGGCATGGAGTTCAAGCTGATCGAGCCTGAGGAGGTCGGTGCTGGGGGAGTTGCTCTTCTGTCCAGGTTTCTAAGATGCCAGTTCTGATCTGTCGGTTCTGTGTTTTCCTCTCAGGTGGCCCGTCGGTGGGGGATCCAGAAGAACCGGCCGGCGATGAACTACGACAAGCTGAGCCGCTCGCTGCGCTACTACTACGAGAAGGGCATCATGCAGAAGGTAAAGGCACGTCACGGCTTTTATTCTCTCCCCCTGCATGCTGGAACCGCCTCAGAACCAGGTCGGAACCAAACCGTAGCGACAGCAGCTTCAGTGTTTGTCTAAATTAGATTCAATTAGTGTAAAAGTGAAATCAGCCCGTAAGAACCAAACCTCAGTTCTGAAATTAACTAAAGACATTCAGTCAAAACGTACACAAACACTTGTGGGTGTAAAAAATACATCAGCTCTAAAAATCTACCAAATTACTTCATCAGAAAATAACTGAAAACATCTGGATTTTGAACTTTCAGATTCTTTAAGAGCCCCAGATAGTAACGCTGTGCTCCGTGTCTCCCTCAGGTGGCCGGTGAGCGCTACGTCTACAAGTTCGTGTGCGACCCCGAGGCCCTGTTCTCCATGGCCTTCCCCGACAACCAGCGGCCCAACCTGAAGGCCGACCCAGACAGCCTGCCGGGCCTGGATGACGACACCGTGCCGCTGACGCACTACGACGACGGCGCCCCCTACCTGCTGGAGGGCGGCGAGCAGTGCGCCGCCGGCCTGCCCTTCCCGGACGGATACGGGTACTGAGGCCCGCCCGGCCAACGCTGAACACTCCCAGAGTCTGTCCACGCCCGAACTTTAAACCTGGAACGGTTCCGATCAGTTCCTGCTGCCCGGAGAACCTAAAAACTCTGTCAGCTCCTGGCCAAGAATGAGAAGGAGACGAACCGGCGGACCGAGGCCGCGCCAGGAGATGCTGTCGCCATGGAGACCAAACAAAGCCACGCCCCCTCCACTTGGCGCCGGTTCTGATTCTGTGACAATCTGCTTTTGTTAAAACAATCTCGTTAAAATCCTGAACGCAGCACCGTTCTGTCGTTGCCTTTTTTGGGTTCTTCTCTCCCGTTTCCACGCCGTCACCAGATCCGTAACAAGGGCTTTAAAATCAGACACGGACCTCCAGACGCACGGCTTGCTCGCTTTTCTGTAGATACGAGTTCTGGTTTCGGACCCGGAGCTCTCAGGGTTCCGGCCGTCGCTGTGTAAATGTTCTGTAACGTTCTGCTTCCCTTTAGAGGCCGAGGAGCCGCCGGGTTGCGCTCGGACCTCCAGACCCAGTGTTCCGTAGACGTTCTCGTGTTTGTGCCGGGTTGTTCTGATGCTCCAGTATGGCCGGACGCATCGGGGCGCTGCATGAGCCAACAGAACCCGGCCGGACTCTCTGCATGGTGTAATCACTGACATATCGCTTTCTCCGGACAAAGAAGATGTTTGTGATTTTCTCTGCGTTTTATTTTCGTTGTCGTGTTCATTTTGTGGTTCTGAACGGGGCAAAGACTCATAAAGTATATATTTTTGCTATAAGGCTGCGTTTGTTCTGATTTTCTGTGTCGGCTGTATAGTTCTGCTCCGGTAGACCTTTGTAACGGACCGAGGAGCGAGGCGTCCGGTCCGCTCTGTACAGGCTTCGGTTCCCCTCCCGCCTCACAATGTGTTTCTTACACTGCTGACTTTCTGATCGTCTGTACTGGGTCCAATAAACGGTCCTGAACGCTTCGCCGGCTGCTGGTTTCATCATTTCCTGAGTCACGAGTGTGTGCTGACGGTTCTGGGTCAATCATTGAACGAGTCTGGTTTGACTTCTGACCTGCAAAAAACAAGAAACATCTGGTAGCAGGAAGAACGTCAGAGGAAATACAAAACTGTTCAAAGTCACAAAACTGGCAAAATTAACGGAAAATATCCATAAAATGACGACATTTTCAGCTGATTTTAAATACAGTAAAACACTATAAATAAATATTAAAAACAGTTCTCGTCAAAGCACTGATTTTATTTGGATTTCGGCCTGTTTTTTTTTGTTGTTGTTGTTGCTGTTTTTTTTTTTTACAGTTAACATGTAAATTAATGCTTTTAGATTTAAAGACATTTAAAAAAGAAGTTTGGACATTTAATCTGAAGAAGTAATGTTTCAGATTCAGATCATATTTTGAATCACGGTGGAGGGGTTTGAGTGTCCCTGTGATCCTGGGAGCTATGTTGTCTGGGGCATTAGCCCCTGGTAGGGTCTCCCAAGGCAAATTGGTTCTGGGGGAGGGACCAGACAAAGAGCGATTCAAAGATCCCTGATGCCATCTCGCCTGGATTAGGGAGACTGGGGCCCTCTCCTGGAGCCAGGCCTGGAGGAGGGGGAACTCACCTGGGAGCATCTGGTGGCTGAGCTTTGGGACCCTGTGGGGCTCAGTCAGGAACAGCCCGAAGAAGTAACACAGGGCCACTTCCCAGAGGGCCCACCACCCACAGGGCAGAAGATTGGGGTTGGGTTGGTCCTCTGCCAGAAACCGGTGGATTGGCACCTTCGTGTAGGGGAGGACCTGCTTCCTCAAACAAGGGAGTTTAAGTATCTTGGAATCTTGTTCATTAGTGATGGAAAAATGGAGCGTGAGTTGGACAGGCGGCTCGGTGCGGCGTCAGCAGAAATGCGAGCGCTGTACCGGACCGTCATGGTGAAGAGAGAGCTGAGCTGCAGGGCAAAGCTCTCGATCTACCAGTCCATCTACATCCCAACCCTCACCTATGGTCATGAGCTTTGGGTCGTGACCAAAAGAACGAGATCACGGATACAAGCGGCCGAAATGAGCTTCCTCTGCAGGGTGGCTGGGCTCAGCCTTAGAGATAGGATGAGGACCTCGGACATCTGGAGGGAGCTCAGAGTAGAGCCGCTGCTCCTTCGTGTCAAAAGGATCCAGTTGAGGTGGTTTGGACATCTGGTTCAGATGCCTCCAGGGAGGCTTCCTCTGGAGGTCTTCCGAACACGTCCACCTGGGAGGAGACCCCAGGGCAGAACCAGAACCCACTGGAGGGATTATATCTCTCAGCTGGCCTGGAAACGCCTTGGGATCCCCCAGGAAGAGCCGGAAAACGTCGCCGGTGGGAGGGAAGTCTGGAAGAACCTGCTCCACCTGCTGCCTCCACAACCTGACCTCGGATAGGCGGAAGAAAATGGATGGATGGATGGCTCATATTTTGGTGGCAGCATCTGTCGTTTGTACAATGTTAAAAAACAAACAAAAACTAAATTTACAACGTTTCCTTCGTAGTTAACAGATTTTTATGTCTTCCTGAAATTAAACAAAAATATTCAGAAGTTTACCAAATCAGACCCTAGATACCAATAAAATGTTCATTTTTAAAAAACATTTTAAAATGTATAAAAGGACTGTTAATGTACATTTTTCAAATTATTTGTGATTTTCTTTATTAAATATATTAAACTGTTCGAGTTTATTTAAATACAATAAAATAGTGGCGGTGAAAATGTTTTACAGTAAATCTGTAGTTTCACAGAATGATTCCTTCTTAGTTTTTGTTTATTTCTGAAATCCATGAAAACATCAATAAAATCACAAAGACAGATGAAGAACCACTTTATACGCTTTTTAAAGATGGTCTTTGACATAAAAACTGATTTGTTGTGATTTCACAAATAATTTAAATTTAACTTATATTTAAGTTTAATTCTATAAATATATTTCTAACATTTGATAGAATTAATCGTGTGTAAATTATTTTAAATTTGGAAAAGTACGGTTTTATTTATTTACGTACCGTTTTTTACACACAGCTCAGGTTTCATGAGTTCTGTCTTCAGGCGACTCTCGGCTGGATTTAATCATCTCGTCAGACGTTTGGTTAGAAACCAGTTTGTGTCTCCAGTTTCCAGCAGAAGAGTCTGATTGTTTTTCTGAGCAAAGAGAAGATTTCCAGCTGATATTTTCACCTTCAGCTCGTCTGTGATCGACTGCAGGTCAGTAGAGTCTCAACCTGAACAGCAGAAGAAGTCATTTAATGAATCAGTTTGTCAGATTCATTTAATTATATTAATATGGTCAGATTTTAGCTGTAACTTAACAAAACAGGCAAAATCTGTTAAATACCAGACAAATATTCAACTGTTTATAAATCCTACACACAAGATGTTTCTCTGACTTAACGTCTGCATGATAATATTTATTGTGGTCTACTTTGTGCGGCGGAAGCACACACAGCTGCTGTTGTCTGTGAAGCAGCAGCTGGCGGTTTCTCTGGCGTCTCGTGATGTTTGTTGAACTTTCCATCATCTGATCAGAGTCACTGGAGCCGAATCGGACTCATGAAGAGCCTCAGAGTTAAAACTGGTCCGAGTTCAGCCGACAGCAGCTTCAACAGCGACACGTTTAAACTCTGCTCCTTTATCCAGACAGCAAACTGCAAAGACGTAAAAAAAAAAAAACAGAATATTTCAGCAGCTCATAGGGAAAAAAATATATAATCTCATTAAAAAAACGTCAAGTAGATTTTTTAGCCTCGATTTTGCTTGGTTATTTGTTTTATTTTAATTTTTTTTTGTACTTTTTAATGTTTAATGAAGGTTATTGACATCTCTAAAAACAAATACATTTTCTACAATAATAATAATAATAATAGCAATAATAATAATAAACAATAATAATAACAACAACATTCTAGATGTCTTTCACATCTCTGTCAGAACCCTTCAGGAAGCTGCTCGGTTCTGCTCATGATAGTGGTTAGTGTTCTGGTTATCATTCTGGTTATTATTCTGGGTTTTAGTCGAGCAGTGATTCAGAACCACAGCAGAAGAAGTGAATCGTATTTAATCAACTGAACATCTGAGCGTTCACACCTCGGCTGTGAAAACACTCCCACAGAACTGATTTCAGATCAGAGGAAACAAAGCAGCGCTGTCACCCATCATTTCAATAATGAAGAACAAAAACCAGAGCGGACCTGCTCACAGCTCAGCCGGTCCAGAATCACAGCCAACAGCAGCTGGTCTCTGACAGCATCTAGCTGTAGAGTCACACTGTGTTGTCTTTAAAACTGCACAAGTTCTCATCATTTTACATTTTCTCTTTAAAGTTTAGTTCTTTTCTGTTGTTTTACAGATTTTTCTGTTTGGTTAAATTGCAAATAATGTCCAGTAAAATCTGGATTCTCACAAACATTCATTTGCACTTTTGCTATAAAATCATAGTTTTTACTGTATTAAAATCAGCTTAAAGGCCCGTTAACTAGCTATTTATATTTTTATAAAACAAAAAAATGGTAGTAAATTATAGATAATATAAAGTAAAATCACATTTTAAAANTTCTGATTTCTGCCTGTTTTTCGTTTCGTTCCTCCTGCTGAGACGAACCGTTAAAGAAAGAAAAACCATCAGACAGAATTCTGATCCAGAGCCAGTTCTGTTGATCAGGACTTCATTTAACATTAAACACGTTTCTGTTCATCAGGCAGTCAGAAGTAACAAGAACAAACACAGATCTGATCCAGTAAGGCGACCCAGATTCTTAGCTTTTACTAAACATGTTTATTAAAGCTCGGTTCTGAGCAGAAAGCTCCGGACCAAACCACCGTCTCTATGTTTCAGTGGGTTCAGTCCACAGACCAGGACGCTGAACTCCACCTTCACCCACAGCCCAGACGTGTGGTGCTCGTGTTTGTGCTTCGGGCCCTGGTTCTGTAGCCGTGGTCCGGTTTCATAACTGCTGGACAGAGTGTTCCCGCTGAACGCCGGGTTCCTCTCAGCCTGCAGCTTCACTGCTTTCTGTCTGGTTGTGGTGCTGGTCTGGTCGTGGGCGCCGCGTGGGAGTCGAGAGCTGAAGCTGTTGTTGTTCTTCCCTCTAACTGCTCTGAATGATCCCAGCAGGACCATGAAAGGCTCAGAACCACCAGGCTGGTTCTGATGCGCCCTGGTGGCACAGAGCAGCTCCGTCAGACCCTCTGGATTTCACACATGATGACGTCTGAGTTATGCAACGTGTCCCTGTGGCTGCTGCAGAGCAGAACCACGAGCAGGACGCCTGAACACGGCCCGATCCAGAAGCCACAGAACCACCTGTTGACCCGTTCTGATGCAGAGTTTGATTAAACTGGTGGAAACAAAGCTCAAAAAGCACATCAGGGGCCTCTTTCATTTAGTGTTTTCTCTGCTTGTGTAACAACTTCCTGCTTAAACTTTATTCTAATGTCTGTACGTTGTCAATAAAGTTAAGGAAATGAAAACAGCCTCCTGATCACATGGAGTTCATCCTCTGCTTGTTGTTAATCTGAACATTTCAAGCTGTTGTTTTTTAAGACGGGCTGTTTTGTAAATAATAATAAAAAAAGAAACAAAATTGGACCTGAGGTAATTAAAAAAATAAAAAATAAAACAAGCAAACAACAACAAAATAATGATCCTGAGCTTTTTCAGAAACTAAATGAAGCCTTTACATGTTTTGGGCTATTTTTAGGGGGAAAGCTGTAAAAAAAAAAAAAGAAAAAAGATCCTGGACAAACTTGTCAAGCAAAAAGTAATAATTTTTAATCCTGGGACAGATCTAAATAAAATAAAATAATACATAAATAAAGATCTGAGGCTGTTAAAAAACAAACAAATAAAAAAAACAA